CTGGTACCAGGCAGGGACAGAGAAAGCCAGCATCCCCTTTGAAATGCTCATCTAATTCAAACTCCTGATTATGTTTTTTTTTTTTTTTTTTGAGCCGGAGCCTTAAGCTATCCCCCTGGGTAGAGTGCCATGGCATCACGCTCACAACAACCTCCAACTCCTGGGCTCAAGCAAGTCTCCTGCCTCAGCCTCCCAAGTAGCTGGGACTATAGGCGCCCACCACAGTGCTCGGCCATTTTTTGGTTGCAGCCATCATTGTTGTTTGGCGGGCCCAGGCTGGGGATTCGAACCCGCCACCCTAGGTGTATGTGGCTGGCGACTTAGCCGCTTGAGCCACAGGCGCCGAGCCAACTCCTGATTATGTTTAAAGAGGAGGAATAATGTTCATTAATTTCAAGGCCCTGGGCTGTCCCAGGGAGATACATGATAGCTACTGGATATTTCTTTCTTTTCTTTCTTTCTTTTTTTTTTTTTTATTCTTGGGGATTCATTGAGGGTGCAGAGAATCAGGTTACAGCGACTGCTTGTGTTAGATAAGGTTTTTTTGGTTTGTTTTTTTTTTTTGAGACAGAGTCTCAAGCTATTGCCCTGGGTAGAGTGCTGTGGTGTTACAGCTACAGCAATCTCCAACTCTTGGGCTCAGGCAAGCCTCTGGCCTCAGTTTTTCTATTTTTAGTAGAGATAGGGTCTCGCATTTGCTCAGGCTGGTTTGGAACTCGTGATCTCAGACAATCCACCCACCTCAGTCTCCCAGAGTGCTGGATTACAGGCATGAGCCACCACACCCAGTCAGCTACTAGATATTTCATCAGTTATCTATCAGTCCATTGCATATTAAGTGGAAAGAGAGAAATCTTATCCATTCTAGTCTTTAAATCCATTTCTGGTATTCCCAAAACAGTCCCAGGATTAGATTTGTGTGAGAAATGGCTGAGAATTGACAGGATGTCTTTGCAACTATCTGTGCATTATACAGGGTGACGATAAATCTTAGCACACTATTTTAAATTGCACACGAACTTTATGGCCACTCTGTATAGAAATGCCAGGGACATCCTGAGATGAGGCTTAAATCAGTCAGTGTGCTTGAACTCCTATAGTGGGGTTGGCACTGAGGGGGAGGATAGATTCAAAATAAATAAAAGACAGAGTCCTTGTTTATAGGAAATATACAGTTGAATTGGGAGGCAGCTCTGCAAAGTAGTTAAGTGCCACATGAGGGGTTCTGATCATTCAGGGGTCTTGTGTGGCATGCCAGGAAATAGAAATATGTTTAACACTGGGATCAGCTTTTGAAGAAAGACTTCAGCATGACGGCTTAGCAAGGAAGCAAACTAAAGGACAGTATACCCATATTCTGGGGCAAGAGGTGTTGGCTGCTTATATCTTTTTCAGCCACTGCTGTATTCATAGTTGGTAATCATTTAATCAGCAATAGTTCCAGTCCTGAATGACAGTGGGATAAATATGTGGTATAAATTCAACTCTGAATCTGGGCCATAGCCTAATACTAAACTTTTAAAGCATGGTGTCATCTGGAGCTGAAGAAAAGGCCACCTCAGGAGGCAGGATAGAGACTAGGAAGACTTAGAGAAAGTTTAGTTTCTGGAGGTGATGGTAGCAGAAGCAGAAATCTACCACAAATTGCCAAGGTTGGCCCGGCGCCTATAGCTCAACCGGCTAAGGCGCCAGCCACGTACACCTAAGGTGGCGGGTTCGAATCCCCAGCCCGGACCTGCCAAACAACAATGACGGCTGCAACCAAAAAATAGCCGGGCGTTGTGGCGGGCGCCTGTGGTCCCAGCTACTTGGGAGGCTGAGGCAGGAGACTCGCTTGAGTCCAGGAGTTGGAGGTTGCTGTGAGCTGTAATGCCATGGCACTCTACCCAGGGGCACAGCTTGAGGCTCTGTCTCAATAAAAAAAAAAAAAAAAAAAAAAATTGCCAAGGTTGATGAGATCTGGTCTTAGCTGGGCAGGTGTCCCCTCCTGCCTCAGGGACCCTTGGGATTTTGTCTGCCTGTATGGGTTGAGGCAGGAAGGGTAGGAAGGCTGCTAATGGGCGACTTGACTGAAGTTGAGCCCTAAGGTTGAGTCAGGCCTTCTCCCTGGGTTGTGAACCCTCTGGGTCAGGGGCAGGGCTCATCTCAGGAACCTACAGGAGCGCCCCACCTGGCTCATTAGTGGATGTCTGGGGAGGTCTTTGAAGATGAAACATTCCATAAGCACTCATTGTTTCTGTTTTTTTGGACAAACTAGTACTTTGGTCTCCAGGGGCCGTTGATCTGGCTCCTTTGCACTAGTGTGGAATTTGCTGCAGACTAAGAAGAGTGGTGGGGAGTGGAGGGATGGAGGTGGGAATTCAGAAGTTTTTGAAAAAACACCTAAACTCCCACCAAACCCTAGTGCTTTCACTTGTAAATAGGATTCCTCTCTATCCACCTTTCACATTCTTGTGTTTGGGTGCACTCTGTCTTGACCTGTTCCTTCGTGTGCTGGGTTTGGGGTGTGTGTGACTCTCTGGTTCCCATACTCTGTAGAGAATGCCAGGAGTTGGCATATGGCAATTGCTGAATAAGCTGCCTGCTGACGCATGCCACCTGCGGGCATAGAGAACTGGCTGGCATGGGTGAACCCCCACTTAATTAATATTTCAAAGATGTATTTCTGTGGTTGTCCTGGACCATAGGGACAGGGAGGGAAGAAGAGAGAATGAAAGAATGAATGAACATGATTCCATCTGTCGGGGTCAGTGGCTAGGGTGGGCATATAGGCATTTTGTTTCTTCACGGTTGTTCTTATTCCTCTTTGTCCTTTTAGCAGCTATTTGCTAAGTGCCTACTATTTACCAGGTATAGCATCCAATATGAGTATGCTGCCAGTGAGGTTAGTAAAGATACTGAAAATTAGTTCAGTTGTTCTACTACTCTGTGCTAGTAGCTTGTTATTCCAGGACACAGAGTGAACTAACCACATAAGGAGCTAACATAGGAGGAGTAAAATTATACAACAAGAAGTAAATATGTAATGTATCAGATGGTGATAAATGTCACAAAGAGAAGTAAATGGGATAAATGGAATAGGGAGTTAGGGGTGTGTATGTTATGCAGGTGGTTGTAGAAGGCCTCTTTGTTAGGTGACATTGGAACAGTATGATACCTGCGAGAAGTGAGGGAGTAATCCATGAAGCTTATCTGGAAGAGCAGCATTTCAGGCGCAGGGAATAGTACCAAGTTTCCCCTAAAATAAGACCTACCCCAAAAATAAGCCTTAGCAGGATTTCTATGCATTTGTTAAATATAAGCCCTACCCTGATAATAAGACCTAGTGATGGGCATGGCTATGAAGATACACTGCATAGCCACGCCATGCATTTTGGCACGGAGCTGTAAGGAGGACTAGAATACCGTTGCGCAGGTGTGTGTGTGGTAACCGTGGTAACCGCAGTCGCAGGCATCCTATTGCACACTTACGAACGGTTAGGGGAAAGGAGTTTATACATCACTAGCACCAGCCCCACCAACAAGGTCAGCTACCCCTGTCAGGTGCCAGAAGAAGATGACTTAACTATATTTGAATAAATGTAGTTTGTTGTATTATACTTAATAAAAATAAGACATCCCCTGAAAATAAGCCCTAGTCTGTCTTCTCGAGAAAAAATAAATATAAGACAGTGTCTTATTTTCGGGGAAACACAGTAAGTATACAAGCTTTGAGGTAGGACAGCTTAGGAGAATTGGAGTAGAGTAAGCAGGACAGTGGCAGGAGATCTGATAAGAGAAAGAGTATAGTTCATGTAGGATCTTGTAAGCCATGGTATGGGCTTTGCGTTTTACTGAAAGGGAGCTATCAAGTCAAGAGAGTTTTGAACAAAGAAATCACATGACCTGAGTTTGGTTTTAAAATCACTGTAGAAGGCCAGATGCAGTGGCTCACACTTGTAATCCCAGCACTCTGGGAGGTGGGTAGATATCTGAGCTCACGAGTTTGAAACCAGCCTGAGCTAGAGCCAGACCCAGCTCTAAAAAATAGCTGGGTGTTGTAGTGGGTGCTTGTAGTCCCAGCTACTTGGGAAGCTGTGGCAGGAGAATTGCTTGAGCCCAGGAGTTTGAGGGTACTGTACTGGGGGCAACAAAGTGAGACTCTATCAAAAAAAAAAATCACTGTAGAAACTATGTGGACACTGAAGGGCTTAGGGAAAAAGCAGGAAACTAAGGAGATGACTACCTCATAGCTATGACCATGTGGAATAACTCTCTTTGCATGGGCCACTGTGAGCCTAGGATTTACCAAGCTGAGGAGTGACGGATATAGCCTCTCCATACCCCACTTCCCAGTTCTCATTGGGAAGTACACTGTTGTATGAATAGGGCACAACTTTAGCAGCTGGCATTCCACAGAATATAAAGGATCAGCCTCTTTTAGGAGTGCTGTTTTCTTATTTCTTCTTCATTTATTTTGGGGTTGGAAGGAAGATGGTATTGCAGAAATACAGGACGGTAAGCGGCAGAATCTCTTGATTAGAGCTGAGAGCATAAACCTTGAGAACCTGGCAAGCCTGAACCTTGTCAGGAATCACAGAGAGCCACTCCTCATTCCACTCCCTCCTCTCCCATCCTTTCCAGAAGTCTCAGGGTAAGGTTGGGGGAGGGAGCGGCATTAATGATCTTGCTATGCCTTGGGGTATAGTGTAGAATGTCAGAACTGAAGGGACTAGAAATCATCTAGTTCAACCCCCTCCGTTTACAGGTGCAGGAATGGAAAGATGAAGTAACTTGCCCAGAGTGTCATGGTTAGATTATTGGCAGAGTAAGGATCCTGAGTGTTCACTGCTTTGTCTTCCCAAAGGCTTAGTATGTATCTGAGTAGGTCTTGGTATTCATAGTCCCCTCAGTCTCTTGGTTTGTCATGAATGTACTCTAGCCATGACTTGGATAAGATCCATTTATATCAAGTCCTGACAAGCAAATGGTGGTAACATGTTTGCATTTTCTTTGCCTAGGATCAAATCCTCCATTCCAGGGACCAGGACAAAACCAGACTCTTAACTGCCTCCACTTGGACCTCACTGTCTTCAAAACACAGCTGCTGTGATCATGGGCAATATCTTTGGAAACCTTCTCAAAAGCCTGATTGGGAAGAAGGAGATGCGCATCCTGATGGTGGGCCTGGATGCTGCAGGAAAGACCACCATTCTGTACAAGCTGAAACTGGGGGAGATCGTTACTACCATCCCTACTATTGGTAAGGGCACCGCTTGGATGTGGGCTTTCATGCCATCAGCTGGGGCAGGGCAGGGGACCTTTTCCTGTTCTTTCCCCTGGCCTCTTCTTTCCAGGCAAGTTGATGCAGTTTGTGGGGTTTAAAGAAGTGGGGTTGTTTAGGTTTTTAGCAGGTGCTGGGCCTGCCGTTTGCCCACCTACCCTGGCCCTCCCTGATTCGGGAACTTCCACAGCCTGGCACTCAACAAGTGCCCTCAGGCACTAGATTTGATTTGTTCTCTGTGTTGTTTGGAAAGCAGGTGAAGGGCTTTGATGTGCCTGCCAGAGGCCTGAAATTGCTTGGGTTTAGATCTTAGGTGGCCGATCCTGGTTAAGACCTGCCTATGGGAGGGAGAACATTTGCTGTGTAAATGGAGGTTCCAGTCATCAGCATCAGATGGTTCTGCCTTTGGGGCTCTAGGACTATAGCTCACTTCTCTTTCTTCCTCACATCTTAGCTAAGGCAGACTCTGGTGGCCAGGAGTGGGTACAGAAGTAGGGCTGAGTCATTTCTTTGTAGGAGGGAGCGCTACAGACTGAACAAACCAACGGGGAAGGTTGGCTCACATTATTGAGGCAACTGTGAGCCTTCTGACTAGCCCTTCTCATCCTCCTTGACTTCTTCGCTTAGGTTTTCATTTTGGCCTTTAGGTCAAGGATTACCAGGTGTGAGGAAACCTTAGCTTTCTTTTCATTGTTGGTGTCATGGCCAAAGCTGGGAGGGGACAGAACCGAATTCATTGGGGCACTGCTTGAGTGTTTGAGGCCAAGTGGTCAAATTGCTTTTTTTTTCCCCAGCTGTTAGAAGTGTGATTAAAATTGTCTATTTTTTCCAAAGGGTTCAACGTGGAAACAGTGGAGTATAAGAACATCAGCTTTACAGTGTGGGATGTGGGTGGCCAGGACAAGATTCGACCCCTCTGGAGACACTACTTCCAGAATACCCAAGGTATGAATTGCCCAGGGCAGCATGGGCTGGTTGGGTATGAGTTAGAAAGCATGGCTGTCCTCCTTAGCTATGGGCAGCCAACCCTTTCCCTGCTGTAGCGCCTGTGGGTGGGAAAAAAGGAAGAAAGGGAACAAATATGTGGAGGGTATTATATTTGGGTGGTGGGGAGGGGATTATCTGTCATCTCTGTGCAGCCCATGCTCTGTCTCCCTAGGGTTGATATTTGTTGTGGACAGCAATGATCGGGAGCGAGTAAATGAGGCCCGGGAAGAGCTGATGAGGATGCTGGCTGAGGATGAGCTCCGGGATGCTGTGCTCCTTGTCTTTGCAAACAAACAGGTGAGACTTCTTCCCACCCCTGAATTTAGGAGAGGGCAACCTGGCTGTGGGAATCATGGGCCATGGGGCTCATTGTATGGGAAGCCTCTATGACAGTGTTCTCAGTTTTGGATTATGGGAAATACAGCAGTTGTTTATGCCCCTCTTCTTATTCCCTGTCCAACTTTATGAGCCACATTTTAGTCCTCAGAAACTGATGTGGTAGATACATCACCTCAAAACTTTCTTTCATCTTCCTTATTGTTTACTCCAGTGAAACTGCCCTCATGCCTCCTGTGAGACAGATCTGATTTGCTAGTCAGTCTGTATCACCTGTTCACTTCCCTATCAACCTTGAATGACCTCTAGCACCTTGGATCTGGCATTCTAGGGTGACTAAAACTTTAGGATCTTGTTGTGGGTTTCCTGAAATAAAGGAGGAGAAGGTACTGGTGCACATTTCTTTGATAGATTATGTGCTTTAGAAGCCTTTGAGAGATCTTGAGGCTTCTTTTTTGTGTGTCTCCCTCGTGCTTCAGGATCTGCCTAATGCTATGAATGCTGCTGAGATCACAGACAAGCTGGGCCTGCATTCCCTGCGTCACCGCAACTGGTACATTCAAGCCACCTGTGCCACCAGTGGGGATGGGCTGTACGAAGGCCTGGACTGGCTGGCCAATCAGCTCAAAAACAAGAAGTGAGAGCCAGGCAGCCCTATCCGAGTGCCCCACCCACCCCTGACATACCTGTTGACTCCCCCACTCCAGCCCTAGCCCTTCCTTCCCATTGCAAGTGTGGCCAGGGACCTGGGTGTCATGTCCGCATGCCCAGCAAGAGCCTTGCCTCCCCAGTCTCCCCTCCTGTCCCCTGTCCACCGACACGACCAGTCCCCACTTGCTGTCCTGTTGATGAATCATTCCAATTTATTGGATTTAAAACAAAAACAAGGTTGTTATGGTTTCATGGGGTGGCCCCTCTCTCACCCTCTGGGTTTCAGGGTGGGGTATTCTCTTCATTTGCTTCATTTGGCACTGGTTGCTGTGCTCTTGGCATATGAGTCCTTTCCTTGTCCCCACAAGTCCCTCTCCTACTCCTTGTCTTCCTTTCCTTCACCACCCTCTGCCAGTTCTACATGGAAATTGCACGGGCCTCTCTGTGTGTGCGTGCATGTGTGCACCTGTAAATACATGTATAGAGAGATATATATGTGGGGCTGGGGGAAGGAGTGGAGTACAGCTCAGGGCTTATAGCCAGGATGCTGCCCACTGGAGCCTATCATCTGCTCCTTCCATATTAGTGAGATAAAGGGAAGAAGGTAGGGGGGAAGGTATTGGTCAGGCTGGACTGCTCTAGTCTTAGACTGATTTCCCGCTTCTCCAAAGGTAGGTTATCCTGGCTGGTAGGACAGATGATGGATTCTCCACCACTATCTTCATTGTACCCTTCTTTCCACCTTTCTTAGGGATAGGGGGTGGCATTTATCTCTAGATGACTGTTCCCAAGGAGATGCCATTCTTCTATGCCTTGTTACTGGGAAGGAGAAAAGAACCCACTCACTCTTATCAGCCCAGAGTGTTTATCCGATCCTCCCCCACCATCCTTAGATCTGTTCCTCAGGAGCTTGAGGAGGAGGTGGGGATAGCAAGACCATGGCATGTGCTTTGTTACCAGGGCATGGGGAAAGGGAGAAGGCCTCAGGTTTTCCATCTTCATTCATCTTCATTTTGTTTTTAGAAGGTAAGGCACGGAATAGGACCATTCCTGCCTTCCTGTACCCTTCCTTATCTTCTGATCTTGGGGGCTAGGTGTTTTCATCTATCCTTTATCAGAAGTTTTTTCACCCTAGTAGTCCTGCTGGCCTGACCAGGACTGACTGGGTGGTCTGATGAGGAGTGGGGGAGTGGGGTGACATAGCAGACCTCAGTATCAACTTCCCTGTTCTCCAACTATCTCTTATTTTCTAGCCCAAGATGTGCTAAAGTATGAAGATTTTCTGTTGTTTCCAGGCCCTCAGACCATCCTTGCTGTCCCTTCCCCTACCATTCCTCCTCTCTTCGCCCGTTTGCCATAAATGCATCTGGGGGTTGGAGTGGAGGAAATAGAACCCTGAAGTGGTTGTCAGTGCTTGAGGGATTCAGTGGGCTTCAGGGTCCTCCCCGCATTATTGTGTAGTTATTCAGAAGTTGCTGCTACTGTGTCTGTTTGCAGGGGGTGCTCGTCCCTGAGGTCCTGGCCTGGGTCCTGACTTCTGCGGTTTCTGTGAAGCCGTAGCTGTTCAGTGGGCTCCTGTGTGTGCTGGCTGCGCCCTGAGCTCCAAGACAGCTGCCTATAACTTTTCTGCTAAGGTCAGGCTCAGGGTCCCCCATAGCATGGCTAAAGGACCCCTTCCCAGAAGGGGTGTCCCAAGCCCCACTCTGTGGGTCCAGGCTTGCTGCCTCCTTTGTCTACAGCAAGCAGGCAGATCAATACCCTTCATCCCATCCCAGATTGAACTGTGAAAGAGAGGTTCCAGGGGTATCTCCCTCAGTGCCAGTTACTTAGTGATGTGTTACCTAAGACCAGTGGGTGTGTGTAGGTATCTTGCTCTCTAGGCCTTTGTGTGTGTGTGTGTGTGTGTGTGTGTGTGTGTGTGTGTGTTGGTGTTTGTGGGCTTGGGGGAGTTGGCGGTTCTATTTCATTTAAAAGTGTATTTACTCCCCTGACCCCACAAACAAACTTTCTTTGTTCTTTTTCCTCAGACTTTTTATTTTGTCCTACCCCATAGTCTCGCCTTCCCTGAGCTCTTTCCTTTGCCTTCTCAATTCATTCACTGCTATTGTTTGTCTTTTCCTTGTTTTTCCCTACTTAAGATGCCCCACTCTGTATCTTTGTGCTTGGTGAGGACTTTGCCTCTTCTCCTACCTTACTCCCTCTCTGACCCTCCCTAGTTAGATGCCAATCCCAAATGAGTTTTCCTTATTTCAGCCCTAAACCCCACTTTTTGGGGGGCGGGACTCCAGGGATCAATTTGAAGTTGAGAGTATTAGGAAGCAGCCTTTGAGGTTGCCTTGGTGCTGCTCCAGATTTGGCCAGCAGGGGGCATTAAGTGGTCTTGGTAGTATCCCTGGCTGCTAGGCCATTGGCACGGGTGGTCCTTTCTACATTCCCATTTACTTAACAACTCTTTTGGGATTGGGTGTTTCATTCCATTTCTGCTCACTCCCTCTCTTCTGGTAGGTTTAATTGTATGCTTTTCCTAGTTCCGGCTTTCTTTTTCCTGGGGACTCCCTCTCCCTCCACCCCCAAAGTTTGTTTGTGGTGTTATAGTGGTAACTGCAGTTCTGAACTGGTTTTTCTCTTCTTTTTTCCTCCTCTGGAATATAGACTGTATATGTTTAATAACTCACCTTCTCTATCCTTGCTCAAATGTGGGATAACGCGATGACTGTGACCCTGGTTGGAAATTAAACTTGTTTTATGCAGCTTTGGAGCAGACCTTCATCCTTAATGTGCAGGAGCTATGGAACAGTGGTTTAACCCTGAGGATAGTTCTGTTTCTGGCCCCTCTCTCCAGACTGCCCCTTCTCTTAGCAGAGTAATAAAGGGCACACTTGATTGGTGGAAAGTGAGGTTATGGAAGAACTTAAGTCCCATCTCCATGATGCTTATTTCTTCCTATCATACCCTGGGGGAAACCCAAATGAATTGGGCACCAGAGTGTGAGGGTTTTGTTTTTGCTCCTCTGGTTTCTTAAGGGTTCAGCCCTGAACTTAGCATATTTGTCACCTGTTGATAGACTTAGGGGCTTCAGTGGCTGGAGAGTCTTAGACTGCCCCACACTGCATCCACACTTAGCTCTCCCTCACCTTGCACATCAGGTGCTTTGAACTAGTTTAAGCAAGGTCCCTTTTATAGATTGGAGTCTCCTCACCAGTCTAGTTCTGGACTTTGGCAGTGCATTAGCATGAAGGGTCAATATCTGGGCAGTGTAATGAACTTTATCCTTCTTACAACTGATGACCCTGCATCAATTGTACTTCACACGTGTGGTTTCCCATGGTCAGGATGCCCAGGCCTCATCCAGAGATTCCATAAATGTCTTCGGAATAGACCTTTTCCATAAAGCCTCTGTCCTCCTATCCTACTCCCACCACTACTGTGTTCTTCTCCTGTTACTATTGTCTGACTCCAGGCAAAGAGAAGGATGATGTTACCCGTGGGGAATGGGTGAGGTTTGGGTGAGCCAGGCAGGCCTTTCTCAGTCTTACCACTGTCTTAACCTTTGAGGATAGAGGTCTTCCCAACTTGCATTAGTGGGAGGGGGACAGGATTTAGGCATATAATAAGTTTGAGAACGCTGAGTCTCACTGTGAAGTATATAATTTGTATTTAGTTTCCTCTCTGCTGCCTCCCCTGCCAGTTTTCTTTTTCAGCCCCTCACCTGTTATTAACAGTCTATCACCCTCAAGGACAGTGCTTTTGCCCCTGTGTAACCCTCATACTACTCCTTTTATCAACTCCATAACTTCAGACATTTATCCTTTAAAATCAGGTATCACTTATCTCCTCATAGGCTGTTCCAAATTTCTGCTTGGTGACAGATTGCTGATAAGTTAAGAGCATCTTTTGATGACACTACTTCACTCTAGCTGGGGCAGCAGAGTGAGACTATGTCTCAAAACATAACAACACACAAAAGAGCACCTTTCCCAAGTGCTTTATTTATATGAATGATAATGGAGAGGACTTTAGTTAAATGGTAGGCCAGTGGGAGTCTTTGGACCCCTGAACAACTTGGGAGAGAGGATGACTTATTCCTTTCTGTCCATTAGTATTCAGTTTAGGATGCTAGGAAGGAGTGACCTATTCCTCCTTGTGGCAGTTGCTTAAACCTTTCAGCTTTTGGGGGATCATGAGATGAGGAAGAAACTCAACCTAGGAGGTGAATGTTTAACATGTAACTCCTGCAACAAACAGCAACCTCATCTTCCTGAATACAAATAGCTCATCATTCATGGGTTGGTGGATGCAAGGTCCACTTGAGGATAATCTGGGCAAAAAAAAAAGCCTGAAGAAAGCCAGTGGAAGGGATTGGATTGGTTGAGGGCAAAAGTGTCTCCTTCATTCCAGAGTTTAGGGACAGTGACAGAGAATCAATGTGAGTATGTATAAGTTTCTCAGACTTGAGGGTAATAAGGTCTGAAGGCTCTGGGGATTCACTGCATGCACCACTTCCAGTTCAAGTACCTAGATTGGTTAGAATAGAAAGTTGACAAGTATGTATTTTGTACCTTCTGTGTTTTTTAGGCCTATGTTAAAAATAGGTCAAACCGCTATACTCAGGGAGGGATCTGGGAATCCAGTTCTGGGATGCTCTGGAATTCTTTGGGGTATCTTTAGCATACCATGTGGACTAGTGAGAATTAGGGGATAACACGGAGTGGGATACCCCTTGCTTTACTGCTGTTTAGTACAGGGAGCAGTGTCTTTGGGTATGCAGTAATAATACTAAGAGCAGCTGCTTTTCCAGTTCTAAAGGAGGTAGGAAGGCCAGAGTCTATTTCTCTAACTTTCTAACCTAGTAACTGGAGTATGCTAGTCACTGGGGAGAGATAGGACCCAGATGCCTGCTTTCCTTTGCAGGTTTTTCTTTCTAATTGGGTTTCCTGACCATGGTTGCTGGGATGGTTAAGAATGACCCTGAGTTCCTGAGAAAGGGGAAGAGGGTTGGAATGGAGGAAATGGGATCTTTGAGAATAGGGTAAATAAAGGGGGCAGAGCCACTGAAAGCAGTGATTGGAGGTCTGGAAGTGAGAAAGACGGGTTAGGACTGTTCACTAAGACTTGAAGGTGAGGCCGGGCATGGTGGCTTACTCCTGTAATTCTAGCACTCTAGGTGGCTGAAGCGAGTAGATTGCTTGAGCTCATGAATTTGAGACCAGCCCGAGCAAGAGCAAGACCCTATCCCTAGAAAAACTAGCCAGATGTTGTAGTCCCAGCTACTTGGGAGGCTCAGGTAAGAGGATTTCTTGAGCCCACAAGTTTGTTGTGCTGTGAGCTATGAAACCATAGCACTCTACTAAGGGTGACAAAATGAGACTCTGTCTCAAAAAGGGGTGGGGGGCGTGTTGGGCATGGTGGCTCATGCCTGTAATCCTAGTAATCTGAGAGGCTCAGGTGGGTGGATTGCCCTGAGCTCACAGGTTCGAAATCACCCTGAGCAAGAGCCAGACCCCGTCTCTAAAAATAGCTGGACATTGTGGTGGGCGCCTATAGGCCCAGCCACTGAGGAGGATAAGGCAAGAGAATTGCTTGAGCCTAAGAGTTGGAGGTTGCTGTGAGCTAAGACACCATGGCACTCTACCGAGGGTGACAAAGTGAGACTGTGTCTCAAAAAAAAAAAAAGGACTCAATTGAAGGTGAGTGTCTATATGTATGATGTTTGCCATGAGCTGCAGAAGAGAGTATTTGGGTTCTAAGGAGGTCATTTAAGCCAAAACCCTGGCTATCTGTACCCAGGGCTGACTGGTTCTACCTATGTACCCCTCCTCACCAGCCAGGCACAGTTGAGAAGCTGTGTGGCAGTCCAGGCCAGGCAGGATGTTTGAGAATGAGCTTTTTCCATCTGCCACTTGCCTCTTGCCCACCTTCTACTTATTCCCCTTCATCCCATACATTGTTGAGAATCCTCAGGACAGAATTGAATACAGGACTTTTAAGGGTAGGAGAGCTTAGCTTGAACCACCAGGATTCTCTGTGAGTTCTGAATATAATAAAGAAGGGCATGCTCATGGCTTTAGGACATAGAAAATCTCTGTTTCTGCCTTTGCCAGATCTGCATTAATGGGCCGATAATTTCTGGTTAGCATAGCCATAGGGGAAGAGCAGAGGAGTTAGATAACAGCTTCATTCTCAGACAAATGAGTGTACCTAACAGAAAACATCTCATCAGCTAGGGTATGCATCCCCTTGAAAATATGACATCACATTTTGAATCTAGGTTTGAATATGCTGACTCATAATCTTTTTATTTATTAATAACCCATTATAAACATACTGGAAAACATTAGAAAATTAACATCCTACTAATTATCTGGCACCTAAGAGGCACAACCTTGATGAATGACTGGATGAATGAGTAAACATTGTCTTTAACAAAGTTGGGCAAAGTGAGTGCCCAGTGAGTCTTGGAAGTAGGGTTCTGGTAGAGTTTCTCCCTGCATACCAAGAGAGATATCTTTGAGTGTGGGGGCTTTTCTAGGTATGGTTCCCTGATTAAGTTGTGCCTCTAGCCTAGCCAAGGTTGGGCTAGCTCCACTACCTTTCCCAGGCCATCTCTCTCACCTTTCTTGGTCCTTCAGGATTCTTCCTACTTGACCCAAGGAAAAAGATCCTTCCCTAATCACTCCTGGGTCCAGGTGGACTTGTGCTGCCCCCTGCAGGTGGATATTATCTTAAATAATTTTGTCCTTTCTATACCTACTAATACCCTCTCCCATGTGAGAGACAATAAATAGCCTTCCACCTTCATGACACCATTTCAGTCGGCTGATGCATCAGTGCAGTATGTGCTGTAAGCCCTTTGCTCAGAAACTTTCAGTGTCTTCCCACTGCGTTAGTGTGACATTCAGGGCTCTCCACCATCAGCCTTTAATTCCCTCTCCCACCACTTCTCCTCCTGACCAAATCTCTAACTTTAGCCAAACTGGTCCATTCATTTTTCCCAAACACCTGACCCTCTGCCTTGACACCCTTTCTCATTTGTTTAAAAATCCCACTACAAGATCTAGCTCAGGTTTTTGTCTCCCCTAAACTGCTTATGCCCTTTCTACCCAAAAGAACTTTTTATCTGCCCCCTCACAACCATATCCCCTGCTCCTTGCATTGTTAGCACAACTCATTAAACACTACCCACACATTCCCTTGTATTGCTGTATATCTTGTTCATTCATTTAATATTTAATTAAAAAATTATTTTTGTAACCAAAGTAATTTTTATAAAAGATGCAAATAATACATAACTACACAGAGCAGCATGTGGAACTTGTTACCCTCTACTCTTCTCATTCCCATCCGCAAACATAACCATCCTCAGCTATTTGGTGTGCATCCTTCCAATTCCTTTTCTAAAAATATGTACCTAGACTGGGGGTAAAATATAACTGGGCTCATATCATATCTATTATTCTGCTACTTGCTTTTTTGACTTAAGGGTTTATACTTTTAGAGATATTCCATATTAGTATAGTTAGTTTTTTTTGTTTGTTTGTTTGTTTTTTGTTTTTTTTTTTTTTTTTGAGACAGAGCCTCAAGCTGTCCCCCTGGGCAGAGTGCCGTGGCATTACAGCTCACAGCAACCTCCAACTCCTGGGCTCAAGCGAGTCTCCTGCCTCCGCCTCCCAAGTAGCTGGGACCACAGGCACCCGCCACAACGCCCGGCTATTTTTTGGTTGCAGCCGTCATTGTTGTTTGGCGGGTCTGGGCTGGGGATTCGAACCCGCCACCTTAGGTGTACGTGGCTGGCACCTTAGCCGGTTGAGCTATAGGCGCCGAGCCAGTATAGTTAGTTTTTTTAATGGTTTCTTTGTATTTCATAGTATAATAATAAAAATAAAACATATTTGTTGGCTGGGTATGGTGGCTTAAACCTGTAATCCTAGCCCTTTGGGAGGCTGAGGTGGGAGGATTGCCTGAAACCAGGAGTTCACGACCAGTCTAAGACCCTAGCCTTACAAAAATACATAATTAGCTAGGCATAGTGCCATGTGCCTATAGCCTCAGCTACTTGGGATGCTGAGCCAGGAGGATGGCTTGAGTCCAGGAGTGTGAGGTTGCAGTGAGCGATGATGCTGCCATTGCACTTTAGCCAAGGCAACAGAACAAGAACCTGTTTAAAAATAAGACAAAACGGCTTGGCGCCTGTGGCTCAAGTGGCTAAGGTGCCAGCCACATACACCTAAGGTGGCGGGTTCGAATCCAGCCCAAGCCCACCAAACAACAATGATGCCTGCAACCAAAAAATAGCCAGGCATTGTGGCGGGCACCTGTGATCCCAGCTACTTGGGAGGCGGAGGCAGGAGACTCACTTGAGCCCAGGAGTTGGAGGTTGCTGTGAGCTGTGATGCCACGGCACTCTACCCAGGGGGACAGCTTGAGGCTCTGTCTCAAAAAAAAAAAAGACAAAACAAAACTATATTTGTCCAGAATCTGTTATTTACAGGGTATTGTGTAGCTAGTATCTTGGTAGCTACAGACATGATGACAACCTTGTCCTTGCCATCAGTGAGCTAGCTTTTTGGGGAAGGACTGGAACGTACATAAGTAACTTCAACACAGGGCACAATATATATGTCCCCAAGTGTATGCCTGAAGTTCAGAAATAGAGGAAGTCTCTTCTAGCCAAGAGAATCAGGACTTCACTGAAGAGGTGATATTTGAGCTTAGCCTGGGGGAAGCTTGACTGGTGAAGGAAGAGCATGAATTTGGGCACAGAGCTGGAAACATGAGAGGTATTTATCTGATGCTAGACCACAGTCCATGAGTAGGAAAGGGATTTGGTTCAATTAATAAACATTTAGCAAGTATATGTCAGATACCATACTGGCAATAAGGATATAGGAATGAGAAACAGGTTCCTGTCTCTAAAAGGCTTTCAGTAAGGGAATAAAAGCCAAGTTTAGAAGAGTAGATTAGAGCTGGATGACAAAAGCTTTTAACTGGTATGTCAAGGAGTTGGAATTTTACTCATTTTAGGAATGTGAACCCCTAGCAGACTTCATACTGGGCAGTTGATGTGGATGAAACTGTAACTGTGCAATGTACAGAATAGTCTAAAGTAAGGAGATACTGGGGATGAGGGATTTATTATTTTAAAAAAAATAAGTTTATTTCTTGTCTCAGTGTATTGACTTACTAGGAAAAAAAAAAGAAAAATAAGTTTATTTCTACCTCAGTTAAAAGCCAATCCAGGCCTGGTATAGGAGTTCTCCAGTTATCAAGAACGTAGGCTTCTTGGCTTGGCGCCTGTAGCACAGTGGTTATGGCGCCAGCCGCATGCATCAGGGCTGGTAGGTTTGAGCCTGGCCTGGGCCAGCTAAACCACAATGGCAACTGCAACAAGAAAATAGCCAGGCATTGTGGTGAGCGCCTGTAGTCTCAGCTACTTGGGAGGCTGAGGCAAGAGAATTGTTTAAGCCTAAGAGTTTGAGGTTGCTGTGACACCATGACACTCTATTGAGGGCAACATAATGAGGCTCTGTCTCAAAAAAAAAAAAAAAGTAGGCTCCTGTCTTTCTGCTTCATCTAGCACACAGCTTCCAGCTTTCGTCTTCATGGTCACCTCATAGTCTAATATGGCTGCTGACCTCAATTCATTTTATCTACATCCACGTGGCAGAAAGAAGGAAAGATGATTGGGGGGAGGGAGAAGAGTACACCAAGACACACTTCCTAGCTAAGTTAAATCCTTTTATTTTATTTATTTATTTTGAGACAGAGTCTCAAGTTGTGGCCCTGGGTAGAGTGCTGTAGTGTCACAGCTCACAGCAACCTTAAACTCCTGGGCTTAAGCGATTCTCTTGCCTCAGCCTCCCAAGTAGCTGGGACTACAGGTGCCTGCCACAGCACCCTGCTATTTTTGTTGTTGTAGTTGTCATTGTTGTTTTAGCTGGCCTGGGCTGGGTTCGAACCTGTCAGCCTTGGTGTATGTGGCTGGCGCCCTACCCACTAAGCTATGGACGTTGCCGGTTAAATCCTTTTAAAGAGCCTTCCTGGAAGTCTAAGACAATACTTACAACTTGTTTTATGTCCTGTTGGCCAGAACTTAAATGGCCATGTCTAGTTTTAAGGGGAGACTTAGAAATGTAGTTTTGGGAGGGTTTTGTTTTTCTTTTTAAAAAATTTGAGATAGGCGTGGTGCCTGTGGCTCAAGTGGCTAAGGCGCCAGCCACATACACCTAAGGTGGTGGGTTCAATTCCAGCCCGGGCCTGCCAAACAACAATGACGGCTGCAACCAATAAATAGCCGGGTGTTGTGGCAGGCGCCTGTAGTCCCAGCTACTCGGGAGACGAGTCAGAATTGCTTGAGCCCAGGAGTTGGAGGTTGCTGTGAACTGTGATGCCACGGCACTCTACCCAGGGTGACAGCTTGAGGCTCTGTCTCAAAAAAAAAAAAAAAATGAGATAATTTGTATACATTAAAATGTACCCATCCTGAGCATGCAGTTTGATAACTTCTGACAAATGCATGTACCTGTGTAACCCACATCCCTCTCAAAGTAGAAAACATTCTATCACCCCCAGAAATTCCCTCCTGTTGAGGGGGCTTTTTTATAGGGGGGTAGTTAAACAATCCGAAAGAGCAATAATCTGAGCTTAATTAGGGTGATAACCATGGGAATGGAAAAGGAGAGCTGGAGAGACCCTGGGTGGAGAATCCAAAGACTGGCTGGATGTGGGAATTGAGAGAAGAATTAAAGAGAATGCTAACAATAGAGCTGCTAACAGAAAGAGAAGATTGGGAGGTCTGGGTTGTTGCAGATGAGGTTGAAGGAGAAAGAAATATTGGATGTGCTGAGTTTGAGGTGCTGGCCAAACACCCTGGTGGAGATACCCAGAGTAGACAGTTGTGTTTATAGCAGGGAGGGTAATCAGAGCTTAATGGCACAAAATACCACTGTGATGCTAAAGAGGACACAGGACCAACAACTGACCCAAGAGTGTGGTGACCCAAGAAGTTAAAACTTGCTGATAACTTTTGAGGGAGCAGAATCCAGGCACTAAAGGCCTGAGTGGTCAGTGAGGATTTGAATCATGCAGGAAACTGGCAGGATCACCTGAAATAATCTTAAAACTTTTTAAAAAACTGGCTCAGTGCCTGTAGCTGAGCAGCTAGGGTGTCAGCCACATACACCAGAGCTGGTCGGTTCGAATCCAGCCTGGGCCTATCAAACAACAATGAAAACGAGAACCAAAAAATAGCCGGGCCTTGTGGTGGGTGCCTGTAGTCCCAGTTACTTGGGAGGCTGAGGCAGAAGACTCGCTTAAGCCCAAGGGTTTGAGGTTGCTGTGAGCTGTGACACCACAGCACTCTACCCAGGGCAACATAGTGAGACTGTCTCAAAAAAAAAAAAAAAGAAAAGAAAAGAAAACAGGGCATTGCCTGAGGCTCAGTAGGTAGGGCGCTGGCCCCATATGTTGAGGGTGGTGGGTTCAAACCCAGCCCTGGCCAAACTGCAACAAAAAAATAGCCGGGAGTTGTGGCATGTGCCTGTAGTCCCAGCTACTTGGGAGGCTGAGGCAGGAGAATTGCCTAGGCCCAGGAGTTGGAGGTTGCTGTGAGCTGTGTGAGACTCTGTCTCTACAAAAAACAAACAAAAGCCTTTTAAAATACTGAAGTCTTCAGACAAACATAAAAGGTTTGTATGTGCTGCCCTTTTGAGAAATTTGTTAAGGAAAGGTGGGAAGAAATTAGTAACACAAGAAAAAGATCAGGGATTCACCCCATTCTTGAAAATAGCCCTTTGCTCCTTTCAGTTGGCATTCCTAGGGATGGGGGACAGGACAGCTTCCAGCCTTCTTTTAAATATATTCCAGAAATTCAAGCTGAAGGGGTAGAGGTGGGAAAGAGATGCTACCTTTGACAACTGCCTGGGTTGGTGGGCCAGCCAGCCATTGGCAAGAAAAGAGTGAGGAAACAGCAGAGTGCAGATATGCTGGACTCCGGGTAGTCCTGTTTCTGTTACCACCTGGGCGATTTATTTAATCTGAGCACCCTGTTTCCTTACCTGTAAAATGGAAACAATTATGCCTACCTTTCAGGGTGGTTTTGAGGATTAGAGACTAGTATCTGGCACACAGTAAGTAACAGTAAATGGGTGCTATTATTGGGCCCAACCCCTCGTTATGGGGCCGAACGGGCTAACGGACGTGTCAGAATTTGCGACCTCCCGGTCTTGGAGGGTAGAGAGGCCTCTCCGCGGCCTCCTCCCTCTAGGAGGTGGGGACAAGGTGGAGGCAGGGCATCAGAAGGAGGAGCTCGCGCATCGCGACCCGCCCGGTCCCGTCTAGTCTATAGTCAGGGCGCCGAGGGAACGCTGTCCTATCCGCCGTCACCCGAGCAGCCTGCCTTGGTGCCCCAGTGCCCCGCCCCGCGTCCAGTCATGACCCTGCGCCCCTCACTATTCCCACTCCATCTGCTGCTGCTGCTCAATGGGGCGATGTGCCGGGCGGAGGCTGGGTTTGAAACCGAAAGTCCCATCCGGACCCTCCAAGTGGAGACACTGGTGAGGAGACAGTCCCGGCCCACAGCGCTCACGGGCCGGGCTGTGTCGAGGAAGACCGAGCTCTAAACGCCTGGGAGCGGGGAGGAGAGGAAGTGCGAGAACGGAGCTGGGGGGCGGTGCTGGGTCCAGGGGGCGAGAATGGGATCTTTGGAGGAGCATCCGTGACCCCTGTAGTCCAATCGTAGGTGGAGCCCCCCGAACCGTGTGCGCAGCCCGCTGCTTTTGGAGACACGCTTCACATACACTACACGGTGAGGGGTCTGGGGGGCGGGGCGGGGCGGGGGGGGCGGTGCCCTGATGCAACACGTCAGCTTTGGCTCGGACACGTGGCAAGCGGTTCAGGGGCAGAAACCCTGGGCGCTGGGGGTCGTCTGGCACGTGGCCGGGGGAGGGGCACTGCTTTTCCCTGTCTCTTTCCCCTCCCGGCTTTTCCGCCAGTAAAACCTGGCACTGAGAAGCTGAAGGGTGGAGAGATCTCCGAGAAGTGCCAGCCCTTTGGGGCTTCCTGTTCCCTTCTGCCCTGAGGGGAACGCTAGATTGCAGTTGTAAGGGGGTTGCCGCCGCCCAGCGGGCCAGGTGCGTGTTGCCCACTGCTGGGAGGGATACTAGGTGTACGCTCTTGATGCTCTCTCCTCCCAGGGCAGCTTGGTAGATGGACGCATTATTGATACCTCCCTGACCAGAGACCCTCTGGTTATAGAACTTGGCCAAAAGCAGGTGATCCCAGGTATGTGGCCTGTTCTCCTTCCACCTCTTCCCAACCTAAGCCCTTTCTTAGCTTCTTCAACCTTGAAGAGACCCAGGAAATTCCTCCCTGGAATAAGTAAGACACTAGGGTTCTACCAGCCACCTCCTGAGGTTCAAACCCTATTTCTAATGCTCCTCTTGTCCCATACCCCAACTGGAAGCCAGAGAGATTTAAGAAGCTGGGAAAAGCTCAATTGAGGATCAAGGGGGAACCTTTGATCTTGTGGGGCTGGGGGAATGTGGGTAGCTGCCAGTTTTGTGTTTTCTTCCTCAAGGTCTGGAGCAGAGCCTTCTAGACATGTGTGTGGGGTAAGTATCTGGACAGGGATGGGCCTGGGTACTCCCCTTGCATGGGCAGAGGCTTTCTTTGCCATTCCTGCTCCTCAAGGAGGCAGGAGAATGTGGGATAAAGAACCCTGACTTGGCACTGGACAGGCCAAGTCAGTGGGACCCCTTAGGGCATCCAACTCCTCTATGCCTCTCTGACTATTGGTTTTGTTAGAGGAGTTAAGCATGTGGGGACACCTGCTTAAGATGGACACCTTTGCTGGCCAACTTGCTTGGTGCTCAGATAGAAAAAGTTCATGTTTGGAGTATGAATATCCAGGAGGTTTGCTGGTAGAGCTTCAGATGGACTGAGGCTGCTGGCCCACCTTCTTACCTCTGGCTGTGAGTCACATTCCTTCCTTCAGAGAGAAGCGAAGGGCAATCATTCCTTCTCACTTGGCCTATGGAAAACGGGGATTTCCACCATCTATCCCAGGTAATCTGATTACACCTCTCCCAGGCCATCAAAATACCTAGCCCCTAAGAGCTACAAGGAGCTATGTACACACTTTGGAGCCTGAGATAGTCATACCAAGTTTGCTGAAACAAGCAGCTGGGTCCTTTTTCTGCAGGGCCACTGTTTTCCTCCTCAGATTACCAACAGGGATTAAGGCCACCTGGCTTGACCTTTGGCAGCCAGTGACTTTAGGGAAGAGATACCACTTGAGCCACATGGATCTACTGCCTGTGCCACACTTCCCAGAACTCTGGAATTCTTTCCTGCCTTTTTCCTGTGACTCTACACTGTGCTATCTGTGCAGCTGGCATGGTTTCTCCCCACACCCCCCCACTTCCTTTCACTCTCTACCAGGGAAAAGATAGTAAAAATAATCATAGTCAAGTAATTCAAAACAAAACAAAAAGCAACTTTTAAAGCCTGGTCTACCTTGTAATTTTAAAAGTCATTGTATGTCACTACTGATAACCCATTCTTGAAGGGCTGAGACTAAACAGACTTTTCAAGACACATATCTCTAGCTTTTGGTTATAACATATGTTCTATTAGTAAAATGTGTTGTACTATATCGAGTATTAGGATTGTAATTCTTATCCCAGTTCTGGCTTAGAGGAAGACCTAAAAGGAGGTAGAGGGACCAAGGAGAAACTCTACCATGAGTCCTGCTGCTCCCCCTTCCTGGTGCTGCTTGTTTGCTTGTTTGGATCTTTTCTCCCACTTACTCCTGTTCCACCTGTCCCTTTACTTCTTTTTTTTTGAGACAGAGCCTCAAGCTGTCCCCCTGGGTAGAGTGCCGTGGCATCACA